GTGCAGAGGGGGCCTCAATCTACACTTATCAATACACATTTATTAACTAAAGTGAGGTAGCCCTAAGACCTGCAGTAGCACTGATGTAGTGTCATTTAGGAAGCGGAGCTGCTTGGAGAGCAGCGGAAGACAGTGGTGCCACGGGGGAGCTTCAGATGAAGAAGGCCCAGCAGCATGGAACTGAGAAAACTCACAAATCAGGCTAGACCCATTTTCACTTAGCCCTCATCTGATCTAAATCTATGAATGAGCTGTTATTTGTAATCTGCCAGATATGACAAAACCTCAGCTTAGAGTGTATCACAGAACACTTGAAAATGTCATCATCGTGTATGTCATATGTAAGTTAAAAAAAAAAACTTGAAAAGATACATTCCAAATTATTAACAATGGTTACTTAGGGAGAATGAGGTTGGGTAGATGCAAGAATTTCCCTTTTTATACTTCATTGTATTTTATTTTGTTATGTTTCCATTGTATGTTTATTTTGTTTCTGTATTTTATTTTATTATGATGTGGCTGTTTTGCTTTTGCAATTAAAAGTATTAGATAAATAAGGCTGGGTGCAGTGGCTCACGTCTATATTCCTAGCACTCTGGGAGGCCAAGGTGGATGGATTGCTTGAGCTCAGGAGTTCGAGACCAGCCTGAGCAAGAACGAGACCCTGTCTCTAAAAAAAGAATATAGCTGGGCATTGTGGCAGGCACCTATAGTCCCAGCTACTTGGGAGGCTGAGGCAAGAGGATTATTTGAGCCCCAAAATTTGAGGTCATTGTGAGTTATGATGCCATGGCACTCTACCCAGGGTGACAAAGTGACTCTGTCCCAAAAAGAAAAAAGTATTAAATATATATGTTTTACTTATTGCATGGAAGAAGTGACTTACTTTACTTACATACTGGAAGAAATGTATTCCTCCTTACTAAGTGACTGTCTCAGGCATGCCAAGCCTAGCTGTCCAACTAAATACTAGAAATCACAATTTTCTTAGATAACTTCTGACCCAGCCCTTCCTCCAGACATATCAGATCATTTCAATTTGAAGTAATCTAAGGGGATAAGTAAAATGTACAGTCAGCCTTACCTGCAGGTAAGTGATCCTCTGTAAGCTTGGAATTCCAAATGAAATACTGCTCCTGTCAAGAGGCTGGTATCTTTTAGCTATAGCAAGTGTCTCAATGGTCTCACTATGTAGCCAGTGTTCTTCAGTTGTCCATTGGCCTCTGGCATGAGAACCTTCAAAAAGCAGAAATATAAAGGATATCAAAATGCTGACTGTAAGTTTGGACAGCTTCTGGATAGCTGAACAGGTGGAGTCCTGGAGGGTGGTGCACCCAGAGAGGTCTGAAAGCTCCCTGTCCCATCCCTTACACCTCACCCTGCACTGTGCATCTCTTCATCTGTATCCTTTGTAATATCCTTTATAATAAACCGGTAAGCAAGACTGGTTAAAAACATTTCATGCATGCCTCTTCCACTGTGAATACTTTGAATGCATTACCTGAGAGGGAACATAATAATTCAACACTAATTGCTATATCCCAGAGAACAAGGAGAAATCAAAAAGTTTAGAGAACCTATTTAACAAAATAATAGATGCCTTGGCTCTTAGCCACATATAATGAGGCTGGTGAGTTCAAACCTGGCCCTGACCAGCTAAACAACAATGACAACTACAACAAAAAAATAGCCGGGTGTTGTGGCCTGTAGTCCCAGCTACTTGGGAGGCTGAGGTAAGACAATTGTTTAAGCCCAAAAGTTAGAGGTTGCTGTGAGCTGTGACGTCACAGCACTCTACTGAGGGCGACATAATGAGACTCTGTCTAAAAAAAAAAAAAAAGATTAACCTTTCTAAATGAAACAGAGAAATAAAGTCTTTCCCAGATAAGCAAATGCTGAGAGAATTTGTGACTACTAGACTGGACTTAGAAGAAACTCTCAAAGAAGTCCTAAAAGTGAAATCAAAAGGATGACATTTGCCATCATGAAAACGAAGCATTATATAAAACTTACCAATAAAGCAATCACACAAAGGAGGAAGAGAAAGGATTCACATGGCACTACTACAGAATTCCAGCAAACCACAATTGCAAACAATAGAGAAAAAGAAAGAATTTATAAAACAATTAACAATATAATAGGAGCAAAACCTCACACATCAATATTAACCTGGAATGTAAATGGATTAAATGCTTCAGTTAAAAGACGGGTCGGCTAAATACAAGAAACTCATCTTACCTGTATAGATATATACAGACTGTACCAGGGTGGATGGAAAAAGGTATTTCATGCAAATGGGAAGGAAAAGCAAGCAGGAATAGCTATACTTACATCAGATAAAACAGACTTTAAGTCAATAATAGTATAAAAGATGAAGAAAGCCGGGCAGCGCCTGTGGCTCAAAAGGGTAGGGCACTGGCCCCATATGCCGGAGGTGGTGGGTTCAAACCCAGCCCTGGCCAAAAGAAAAAAAAACAACAAAAGATGAAGAAAGCCATTAAAGGGATCATTTCAAGAAGAGGATATAATAATTCTAAATATATAAACCCAACACAGGAGCACCTATATTCAAAAAACCAATAGTACTAGATCTAGAGATAAACAGCAACAGTGAAGGAATTCAACACCCACTCACAGCATTAAGACATATCATCTAGACCAGGGGTCCTCAAACTTTTTAAACAGGGGGCCAGTTCACTGTCCCTCAGACCGTTGGAGGGTCGGACTGGGTCCCCAGGATGAGTTGGCTGCTAAGCAGGACAGGCAGCTGCAGCAAAAACACTCGGCGGTCTGGATAAATGTCCTAGGCAGGCCGCATGTGACCAAACGGACCTTACGGACATTTTCAGAATATTCTACCCAATAACTGCAGGGTAATTATTGAGCATGGGATTTCATGAGCATATGGAGCATTCTCCAAAACAGATCATATGTTAGGTCACAATCAAGTTAAAACATATTTTTAAAAATCTAAATCATATTAAATATCTTCTCAGACCATAGTGGAATAAAAACTAGAAATCAATACCAAGAGAAACTATGGAAACTATATAAATACTTGGAAATTAAACAACATGTTCCTGAATAATCACTGGATCAATGAAGAATTTAGATGGAGATAAAAAAAATTTGAAACAAATGAAAATGGTAACACAAGTAAAACCTGTGGGACAATTTACAGCATTAAATGCGTACATAAAAGAGTAGAAAGATCACAAATGATCAATCTAATGACACACCTTGAATTAGAAAAGCAAGAACAAACCAAATCCATAATTAGCAGAAGAAAAGAGACAACAAAGATCAGAGCAGAACTAAATGAAATAGAGACTAAAAAAAATTGGAACAGATCAATGAACCAAAAAGTTGGTTCTTCAAAAAGATAAACAAAATTGATAAGCCACTAGCTAGATTAACTGAGGAAAAAAGAGGACTTGAATATAATCAGAAATAAAAAGGGAGGCATTACAACATCAGATACCACAGAAATATAAAGCTCATCAAAGACCACTGTGAACAACTATGTGCTCACTAATTAGAAAACCTAGAGGGAAAAGAATAAATTTCAGGAAACATACAACTTCTCAAAATGGAACCATGAAGAAATAGAAAACCCGAATCAACCAATAATGAGTAGCAAGACTGAATTAGTAATTTAAAAACTCCCAACAAAGAGAAGCCAAATTCGTGGATTCATAGCCAAATTTCACCAAATGTACAAAGAAGAACTAGTAACAAATCCTCCTGAAACTATTCCAAAAATCAGGGAGAGAGTCTTCCCAACTCATCTTACAAGGCTAATATCAACCTGAAACCAAACCGGACAAGGGCACAACACACACACAAAAGTATAGGCCAATGTCCCTGACGAACATAGATGCAAAATTCCTCAATAAAATACTAGCAAAGTGAATCCAATAGCACATCAAAAAGATAAGGGGCTGGGCAAGTGGCCCACGCCTGTAATCCCAGTACTTGGGGAGGCCAAAGCAGGCAGATCACCTGAACTCAGGAGTTCAAGAACAGCCTGAGCTAGAGAAGAGACGTTTTCTTCTCTGAAAACAGTCAGGTGTTGTGGCGCATGCCTGTAGTCCCAGCTACTGAGGAGGCTGAGGCAAGAGAATCACGTGAGCCCAAGAGTCTAAGGATGCTGTGAGCTATGATGCCCTACTGAGGGCAACAAAGTGAGACTCTGTCTCAAAAAAAAAAAAAAAAAAAAAAGAGAGAAAGAGAGAGATAATAAACCATGACTGAGTAGGTTTTATAGCTGGGATGCGAGAATGGCTCCACATAAACAAATCCATAAATGTGATATATAACAAATCAAGGACAAAAACAATATTATCATCTCAAAAAAAAAGCATTTGATAAAATCCAAAATCCTTTCATGATCAAAAAACCTTCCACAAACTAGGGATAGAAGGAACATCACTCACAACAGTAAAAACTACATGTGACAAAACCACCACTAACATCATCCTGAATGGGGGAAAAGTGAGTTTGCTCTAAGAACTGACACAAGACAAAGATGCTCACTTTCACCACTCCTATTCAGCACAGCACTGGAAGACCAAGCCAGAGTAAGCAGACAAGAGAAAGAAACAAAAGAAATCTAAATTAGAAAAGAAAAAGTCAAATTATCCCTATTTGCTAATGAGATAATCATATAGATAGACAGACAGACAGACACAGAAAAACCTAAAGACTCCACTGACAAACTCTTAGGTCTGATAAATGAATTCAATAAGGTTGCGGGATACAAAATCAATGTATAAAACCCAGTAATGTTTCTATACATCAAATGCAAACTGGCTGAGAAAGAAATCAAGAAGGCAATCCCATTTACAATAGCTACCAAAATACCCCCCAAAAAACAAAAAACAAAACCCTATGAATAAATTTAACCAAGGAGAGGAAAGATTTCTACAAAAAAAAGTAAAAAACATCAAAGAAAGAATTTGTAAATGACACAAACAAATGGAAAAACATCCTATGCTTACAGATCAGAAGAATTAATACCGTTAAAATGAGCCAATGCAATCCCTATCAAAATTCTAACATCGTTATTTCACAGAATTAGAACAAAAATCCTAAAATTCAATAGAACCAAAAAAAGAGCCCAAATAGCCAAAGTAATCATGAACAAAAAGAACAAACCTAGTGGCATCCCATTACTTGACTTTAAAATGCATTACAAGGCTACAGTAACCTAAACAGACTTTAAAATTGGACATTTGAGTGTGTGAAAATGTTGACACTAAACACAAGAATATTTAACAAGGGTCTGAGTTAAATTTTTCACACAGATTGTTTCCACTGTGGAATTACAGATCCAAAAAGATGTAACTAGATGTGGATGACAGGGATGGACAGCTCTGGTTGCTCTGAGGAGTCTCACGCGGAAGGTAAAAGCTGACACTTCTCTGCTGCCCACTTTTATAGAGATGAGTGAACTCTGGTTGTGTCTCCTAGTGATCAGGTCCAGGTCTCACAGTTAAGAAGTAATAGGGCCAAAAACATGAAGATGCTGAGAGCAGAAGGTGACCTGAATGGGAACAAGGTTGTGTGCCAAATGCATAATTTCTGCTAGTTTTCAGTCTGATGACTTCATTTTCTGTATATTCACTTCTATTTTTAATTCCATGGCTCTTGCTATCACAAGTCAAGTTTGCTTTGTCAACTCCTCTACAAAATAAGTTTACACTTCCCCTTTTCCCAGTGGAAAAACTGAAATGCAGTTTAAATCTGAATTCTAGGTCTTTGTGCCAAAATTT